CAGTCACAGGCAATTTAGGGAGTAAACAGACACATTATACATGCTGAAAACCTCTCAGTGATTGTTTCATCCACAATCGTTACATCCTTTTGGTTTATCTCTATAGATTGGAACATGGGGCACGGTGAGATAGTGGGTTCCAATTCAATTTAGAGGAAAGACTCAGAAGGTAGTGTTACTAATGAAAGATGTATTCCCAACTTCCTGACCATTACTTTGTGGATCATTCCTCAAAGCTTCCATTTTGTTCCTGCCTGTGATTTAATGATCTGCAGGCAAGATTGTCTATTCATAGATGAGGTATCACCAATGTTTGTACTGTAATAACCTGTTCGATAAGATAGTAAAAGTCTTAAGCTATGATGAATATTGACATATGCACCAATCTGTTCTGCTATTTTCCCTCTAAATTCATTTTCTATTTCATTCATTCACTAAAGGTCTCCTGCATAGTGGGGTACCACAAGGCTCTGCCTTAGGCCCAGTACTTTTCAATATCTTCATAAATGACTTAGATGAGGGAATAGAAGGGGAACTCATCAAATTTGCAGATAACACTAAACTGGCAGGAGTAATCAACACCGTGGAACACAAACTCAGGATCCAAAAAGATCTTTACAAACTTGAACAATGGGCCCTATCCAACAAAATAAGTTTAAATGTGGAGAAAAGGAAAGTTTTACATTTAGGCAGGAAAAATCAAAGGTACAAGTACAAATTAGGTGAAACCTGGCTCAAAAACAATAACTGTGAGAGGAACCCTTGGAGTCTAGTGGACGATCACTTGACTATGAGCCAGCAGTATGCAGCAGCAGCCAAAAAGCTAATACAATCCTGGGTTGATAAACAGAGACATAGAATCACGCGAAGCATTAGTACTGCTTTATAAAACCCTAGTAAAACCACAATTTTGGTCACCATATCACAAAAAAGATGTTCAGAGAAGAGCAACTAAGATGATCAAAGGCCTGGAGACTAAAACATACAAGAACAGCTGCAGGACTTGGGTTTGGCTAGTGGCTAGTCTAAAGAAAAGAAGAAATAGGGGAGACATGATAGTAGTATTCCAGTATTTGAGGGGCTGCCACAAAGAAGAGGGAGCCACATTATTCTCTAAAGCACCAGAGGCAGGACAAGAAACAATGGTTGGAAACTGATCAAAGAGAGAAGCAACCTGAAATTAAGGAGAAACTTCCTGACAGTGAGGACAATTATCCAGTGGAACATCTTGCCTTCAGAAATCGTAAGCGCTCCATCACTGATTTTTAAGAAGAGGCTAGACAATCACTTGTGTGAGATGGTATAAGTTCTCCTGTTTGAGTAGGGGCTGGACTAGAAGACCTCCAAGATCCCTTCCTGCTCTATTCTATTATATTCTATTATTATTTTTGTTTAATTTTTGTTTACTGCCAAATTCAACGTGTTGCAAAATTGTGACACTTATAGGAAGTATATGTGGGGAAAATTCTAACAGCATGGTGAAATTGGTTATGAAATAAGTTAAACTGGTAAAATATTTTGATGTTGATTAGAGGTGTTATAGAATATGCAGCTTAGTTTTCTTCCAGCTATTTAGCACAACTGGGTGATCTTGAAAATTAAGCAGGATCAAAACTAGTCAGCATTTGGGTAAAAAAAAAAAAACAGGAAATACTGGGTAATTCTCTACGTTGTAGAAATTTTAAAACTATTTGTTAAAATTATATCTGGAATAATAGAATAATGATGCTATGCATTAAAGAAGTCCTATTATTGAGCAGTATAAATATATAATAAGTAACCATTAAGCATGCTTTAGTGCAGACATGTCAAAGTCGTGATGTCACATGACGTCACACAACATATCGGAGCTTTTTCCCCAGTGCCAGCAATGGGGTGGGTGTGGTTTTGTCGTGACGTGTCTGGCCCGTGGACTGGCAGTTTGCAGGCCTGCTTTAGTGCATAGATGAAGAGAACAATATACATATGCACAGTGGATGGTAAACTCATACAAAGACAGATGCATGTTATTGTCCAGATCACCTAGATCCTAGACCTTCCTCAACAAAACACATTTCAGCTTATGTGTCATTCATCTCCATAAAAGTTACCATCAGACAATTCTGCATGATTGGTGCTGAAACACCTTTTGTGTTTCAGGCATCAACTTGTATTTTATAAACCAAACTGCTACCCAGGAAATATACACTATTGAATATAGTACAGTATTTTTCATGTTTGAAATGTGAGCATAAAATACTAGAACATATAAAGTTGATTTTGCACAACATATTTACTTTGGTTAAGGATAGAACATATTTAATTTGGTTATGGAAATAATCTATTTTCTGTATTTGCACAATACATTGAATAATAAGCTAAATTGGCCGGGTTGCACAAAAATGGTGAGCCACAAATAACTACAGTAAGGTTAAAAGTTATCAAACTAAACATATTGTGTAAATCCAGCCATTGAGAAAAATATTATAAATCTCTCTTTCCCCCTTTTCTTTCTATACATTCTACAGCAGTGCAATAATAGGCTCTAATTGCTACGTTACCTTCTGTTTTTTACAATATCATTTGTCTGCAGCAGGTAGATCTGCACAGAAACAATATTTTAAAATTAATTATGTTTATTCATAAGTGCATTCCTGCTGCAAACAGCTTGGCTGGCTGTGAGTTTAGCTTCCCTTCCTTCCAGGTAGCCAGAACAAATTATTTTGTCAAGTCCACTTAAGTTCCCCTATAAATTCCCATTTACAAGTGAATTTCATCTGTGAATACTCATTCTGTATTCATTTTATGAACTTCTAGCAAATTCCAGTTTTATCCCTCTTAGTCAGTTTCACAGCAGGGAAAGAAAACTTCTAGATTTATAGAAGTTAGTCCTCGACTTATGACAATTGAGCCCAAAATTTCCATTGCTAAGGCAGTTGTTAAGTGAGTTTTGACCCATTTTATGACCTTTCTTGCCGGAGTTGTTAAGTGAGTCACTGCAGTTGTTAAGTTAGTAACGTGCTTGTTAAGTGAATCTGCCTTCCCCATTGTTTTTGCTTGTCAGAAAATTACAAAAGGGGATCACATGACCCTGGGACACTGCAGCCCCCACAAATAGCCTTTCTCCAAGGGAGATGGGCAGTTAAGAAATATAAAATATAAATAAAATAAATACATACCAGTGGCCAATTGTCCAAATTTTGATCACATGACCACAGAGATGCTGCAACAGTCATGTGAAAAACAGTCATAAGTCAAGTTTTTCAGTGCCATTGTAACTTAGAATGGTCAGTAAATGAATGGTTGTAAGTTGACGATTATCTGTATGCATCTTCCAGCGTTATCCTGCACATTTTTGAGGAAGAATGAATAATATCAGAAAGATGGGTTGGCGTATGCAACTTTTATTTTATTAGCTCTTTTATTCTTAATGGCAAAAACTATTTTGGCAAGTACTACCTTACTTTGCCAAGCACTACTTTCAGTTCCAGGTCCAGTTCTGGGCACTGCAGTCTATGATGGACTAGGAACAAGTTCAGAGGATACCTACTAAGATCAGAAGACCGGAAATTAAGTCCTAGGAGGAATAGTTAAATGAACTGGGTACATTTAGCCTATCTAAGTTGCAATCCTTAGCTATCCAAAGTGTTTTTGAATAGAGCAGACAGAAGACTTATTCTTTGTCACTCTGAAGGACCAGACCCAAACCAATGGTTTGAAACCATAAGGAAATAGATTTGGATTTGGAATGTACTCATAGTAAAAGCTTTCAACCAGTGGAATAGCATATTGTCAAATTTATGTGCTGTCCATCTCAGAGTTCAAGGCAACTCTGAGTAGTTGCCTGGTAAAGTGTTTAGTAGATGTTCTTCTCCAGTGGACATCTTCAAAGAAAGGCTGAAAAGCCAACATTGTGTAGTGAATTAAGGAAGCTGGACTTGAAAGGACTCTAAGGTCCTTTCAAGGTGGATGAATATTCCCCTACCATCTGCTCACCCCTATGTTACATTGGCTGTCCTTGCTAATTCTTATCTTGATCTCCTGTCTCTATTGGCTAGTTCCTAGTCACAAAGCTAACATTTTGTACACCTTGAGGGTGTAAGGTACAGCTATAGATAACTTAAGCTTTGTCTTACTTATTGCCTAGATTAAGATGGGATAAGAGAAAAAATAAGTCTTACCATTGAATGATTTGCCATGGCTAGTTGCAAATGGGGCATTGATTATGATTTGTAGTTGTTTCAGTGAATCCCAGTCCTATAAAATTGTGCATCAGATTCAGGGTTTTGTGCTAGTTCTGCATGTCGATGACCATTCCCCAAGTGATAATATCTGTGGCTATTACGGCTCTTTTCCCATAGATAGATGTTATCTGTAGTAGGTTCAATGGTTCTTTTAAAAAACTGAGTGAATCTATTAGAACTGATGTCTTGGATTCACTTTTTGTCCTCTTGACAGCTCCAGATTTAATCAGATTTGTGATTCTTATGGTTCTTTTTTTCCATGCTGGGTTCCATGTAAAATAGACAAATCTATTTTGGCTCCATGTTTCCCCACGTGATGCCAACAATGATAAGGAATCCCAAACCATTATGGCCCATTCTTTACAGATAAATGTATTCTGTACTTTGAAAGTTAGCTGAGATGGATTCACTCTGGGAAATGACAATACAGTACCATAGTGCTGGAAGCTAGCAATTTGCTTCCGATATTTTTATTTTATTGAAAGTAAACATCAATTCAGTTCGGGGAGGAAAACTGGCGGGGCTCAGAAAGCTCCCTGACTAGCTCCCGCGCTAACCTGCGAGCAACCTCTGAGGAGACCTTTGGACCTATCCGGATTGTTTCGAAAAGCAGCTATTCAGGGAAAGAGTCCCACTTCGGCGGAAGAAGTGGGTGCCTGGGAGCTGTACAAGTACAAGGAAAGGAAAAGTGTGAGGGGGCGGCGGCTGCCTCTTTCCCCCCGCCACCGATCTCTCTCTCTCTCTCTCTCTCCCTTCCCCTTTTCCCCTCCTGCGCAGGCTGCTCCCTTCCTACCCCGGTTACCGTGGCAACCGCCCGGACTTCCCCGGTCTCACGTCTTCTGCGGAATCGCTCGGCGGCGGCGGCAGCAGCAGCAGCAGCAGCAGCAGCAGCCGTCCGCTGCCGGAATCGCTCCTGCTGCCGCTGCCCTCCTCACCGCCTCGCATGGAGCTGCTGGCTGCCGCGCTCAGCGCCGCCTGCGCCTTGGACCACGAAGGATCCGCCGAGAGCGTGGCCGCAGCCCGCCCAGCTGACAGGTGAGGGATTAAAAAAAGTGGGGATGAGTTCGCGCGTCCTCCGCGGGGGCGCCCCTTCCGCCCCAGCCACCACACGCGACGCCGCTCGCTTCTTCCACTCCGGAGCGCCAACTCCGGCTGCGGCGCCTTTCCTGGGAAAAGCTGCCGAAGTTCAGTTTGCTTTCGGGTCCGGCTAATTCCCGCAGGGAAAGGGGAGGCTCTGCCGCCCCGAGCCAGCTGGCTTACGCCGGGTCTCCTGCTTAGACTCTCCCCGACCCCTGGTTCTCTGGCTAAGCCCCCAAAGGGCGCACAAGAGTTAACTCCGCCGTCTATGGAGCTTCGCCCCCGCTTGGCTACCTTCCCTCCTTTTTCGTTTGCCCGCGTCTAGCGCGATGGTTTCCTCCACGAAAGAATCCCCGAGTCCTCTTCCTGCCCCGGGGACTTCTAGTTAAGGAGAGCTAATATCTCTTAACAGGTAGAGTCAAGGAAGGGCAGCCGGGAGGGGAATGGCTGAAGCTCCGGTCAACTGACTCTGATTTGCTATAATTCCGCAAGCACTTACAGCGCGGCTAGTCCCTGCCTTGAGAAAGCGGGGAATCCGGGCAAAGGCTGGGAACGGCTCGAAAGAGGCACTGAAGCTCAAACGGCGTTGCTTCCCCCCCCCTCTCTCTGTCTACCAAAGCGAATCCCCCTCCATGGCGGGGCCAACTTCTTTTCCGGAAGAGACCCCTGAGCAGACTGACTGCCCGGCTGCTTTCCCCGAAGCTCTGCAGATGATTCACCCCATGACCGCAGACTCTTGGAAGAACTTCATTGAGCAAATAGGTAAGGGGACTCTTCTACTGCAGTCCTCAGAGCTGCAAGCTGCGTTGGAGCGGGCAGGCGTATTTAGAGACCCCCGTGCTTGTCCTGTTTGAGAAAAGCAGTTTAAGGGAAAATATCATGAAGAACGAGGAAGTAGGAATTGATAACATTTGGTTACAGGGGAGTCCACTGGGAGGGGCTTCTATTTATTTGCTTGCTTGTTTATATTTAGCATGTGGCATCTACAGAAGTCATGCAATATTAATTTATATCCAAAACTAATAAGGGAAGGGTTCAAAAAAGTCGAGTTGCTGGCCACCACAAAAAAGGGGTGGGGCCATGATTGCATGATTGCAGCTGCCATCTTGCCTTTTTTTGACCCCTGTCCCTGCAGCTCTCCCCACACATACACTTTGAATTGTTCCAGTTTTGTGCTGTCACAAATTTGTGCAGATAAAAGTTTGGATGCTTTTTTGGATGAAGATGAGGGGAAATTGATTCTGGATGACTGTTTTGGAGCAGAACACATGCAGAGAAGAGAAGCCCAAAATTGAATTTTGAATGGCTGAAGATAATTAATTTGTATTATTAATATGCAGCAGAAACACATCAATAATAATATAAAACACTTTAAATATATGCTTCCCTTTACACCTGTGTTTCTCAAGCTTGACAATTTTAAGGCATGTGGACTTCAACTCCCAGAATTCCACAGCCAGCAATGCTGGCTGTGGAATTCTGGGAGTTGAAGTCCACATGCCTTAAAATTGTCAAGCTTGAGAAACACTGACAAAGTATATTAACTTCATTCATATCTAACTTCACCTTCAAGCACGAAATAATTGAGGACTATCTCCCATCTTTCACTATTCAGTGCCCACGTTAATGCTAAACAAAATCTTAATTATTAAGTCAATTTTCAACAAGTATTGAAAATATGTTTTTAAAAAAATGTAGTTCAAGGGACATTATGTTTCATTCCATATCATAAGATGTCTAAAAGCAATTTCTCTTTCTCAGTTACGTGTGGGAAGCTAGCATGGTCTCCAAGATACAGTTGTCCTGCTGCTATTTTAATCTCACTTTGACTAGTGTTCCAAAAACAAAGTGCTTGCAGTATATACTTTGAAAGAAAGTATAGTTTGAAAGAAAACCATTTTTATGGTGACTTTCCCGTGACAAATTATTCATGTTTCTAAATATGGTTATGTTGTACGTACAGTATTAGTGCTATGCCTTGATCCATACAAGTACAGTAACTTCTGAATGAATGCTTACAACTTCAAATAAAATATAAAGCCTTATTAAAATATGTATTTAAATACACAATGTTAATTCAACACTTTATAAAATAAAATAAAAATTATTTAAGCATTGCTAAATTTTAAAATGAAAGGAACTTCACAAAAACCTAGCACAAATTCAAATGACTTCAGAATGAGTGCTTTTAGACTCTTGTAACTGACATTTTGATTTGTTTGAAACAGTATTTATATTGTGAGGGACATAATTTCTGCAATTTCTAAGAAAGATGAAAATGGATGACAATGATGCATGTTTTATTTGCATTTCATGTTTTCAGTGATCTTTGTGTTAATTGTGAAAGGATTCTGATATTTCTGCAGTATTTCATAACATACACAAGACTAGTCCTATATTATAAATTAAATTTGAAGGCATTAAGCATGTAGTAAAACTTGTATTGATTGCCTATGATAGATTTTTATGTAGTTTTGGCTTATTTAAATAGTAATGTTTCATTTTGGCTTTTCAATGTGGTGATTTTCTTGCACTTTTTTCATATTTTGCTCTGATGAGCAGAAAAACAAATAATATTAATGAATTTCTTTATACCTTTGGAATTGTGAGATCTTAAAAAGTTTTCATTATATAATTTTTCTTCAGCCATGTGTTTGTGTAATTCTAGGTCAGATTACATGTGAATTTGATAGATGGAAACAAAATACTGTTGTGTTTTTCCTATTATGTTATTTACATAATTCCATTAACCAGTTTATGGAGAGAGGAAGTCTCATCCCTAGTCCTATTCTGTGCCAAGAAAATAAGTTTTCTTTTATATAAGAGTAAGAATGGTGCAATCAGAGATGTAATTACAAAGAATAAAATTGTAATTTTATTGGAAATCAAGCAGAAGTAAAGTAGTTTTGGATGTTGGTGTGTATTGCTTGGTTACAGTTACAAATCCTTTGAAAGAGAGAGGAGGATTGTTTGGAAATATTCTAATCCTAATTCAAAATACTTAATGGAAAATGGTGCACCAAATTCTATTCCTCAAATCAAATGTTATAAGCTTATTTCTGTTTTATCTGCTGTCTTTCACGCATGCACATACTGAAATGGGGTTCATATAATATTCCAAGCTGTAATTTTTATTTCTTTTCTCTCTGTGTTTCTTGCAAACCCAACCATGTTTTATTCAATAAAGCATGGTATCAGTATATTAACTCCAGACTGTTTATGGAGATTCTCAGTCATCCAGGTCATAGTTGTCCCAAAGATGCTTTTTCATGAGGCAACCAGGCTTTCTTATTTTTCTTTGAAGACGTTTCACTTTTCATCCAAGAAGCTTCTTCAGCTCTGACTGGATAGTGGGGAATGGAAGGGTGTATACTCCTTGCAGACAGCTAGTTATTTGCATTTTTTTAGAGAGTCATTGAGACCACCTGGAGGTTTATCTGTGTTGTCAGGGTCACCTGAGTAGTGCAAATGAGTGTGGAGCCTTCTTGGAACTGTTGAAAGGACTGTGTTGAAAGGACTCAAAGAGGCCATCAATGTCAAAATTGAACAGTCCCTCTCAACACAGTCTTTTCAATAGCCATCAAAACCTAGGTCATATCTGTGATGTGATAACTGCTGGAATTATTAACTGGACAGTTTGGACAAAAAAAAACAGGAAAACTAGTGATTATTTACTATGCATTACAACTTCATAGTAATATTGATAGATTATACCTGCCTTGCAGAAATGGAGGCAAAGATTTACTTCAAGTCAAACATACAGTTGAAGAACAGCATGCATTGGCTGATTATGTAAAAAACAAAAGATGAATATTGAAATAATATAACAAAGAACAGAATGCTGGCAAGGAAAAGCATTACATAGTCAATTTCTGCAAAAGATTGAGGGAAAGTGGATAAAGATAACACCTGGTAAATGGAACATTAAGAAAGAAGAAATGGAAGACTTGATTTTGGCTGTTCAAGAGCAAGTTATTCAAAATAATTGAATCAAAGCCAGAATTGAAAAAATCATCAAATCATTCAAAGTGCAGATTGTCCAAAGAAGCAGAAGATCTCACAAGCTGATTATTAATAACAATATAACAAATACAGACATCAAAATGATTTACTGGAACATCTGTAAAAATTATCATGTGTCAGTAAAGAAAAACTGGTGGCAACATAGAGTTGAAAAAATAGCCAAAACCGAGCAAGTTAAAATATCATGTGATTTATGAATACAAACCGATAAACTCTTGGCCAATAACACACCAGATTTAACTGTGGTTGAAAATCAGAAAGTGCAGGTAATCAATGTGGCAATACCAAGGGGTGGTAGAATAGAAAATAAGAACTGGAGAAGATCACAAAGTATTAAGATAAGGAAAATGGAAGTTGAAAGATTATGGCATAAATTGGCTGTAGAGGTTCCAGTGGTTATCAGCACATTGAATGCTATACCAAAAAATCTTGGATGACACTTAAAACATTTGCAAATTGACAAAATTTCTCTTAGTCAATTACAAAAGTCCACACTGCTTGGATTTGCACATATACAAACTAATATATCATGATATCCTAGGTTCTTGGGAAGAACTCAATGTGTGTGAAGACCAACACCAACCAAAGAACTGGCAGCTGTAATTTCACATTGTTGTGTATATAATAACAGTTTATTAGATTTATATGCCACCTGACTGCCAATGATTCTGACCAGTTTACAAATTGTTAAAAACATTTAAAAACAAGGAACAATTTAAAAAACAAAAACAACACAAACCAAAGGAAAAGAGATGGCAGAAAAAATAAATCCAGATGAATAACGAGAGTTGGAAGGGACCTTAAAGGTCTTTTAGTCTACCCCCCTCCCCCCGCTCAGGCAGGAAACCCTATACCATTTCAGACAAATGGCTGTCCAATCCCTTCTTAAAAACCTCCAGTGTTGGAGCATTCACAACCTCTGGAGGCAAACTGTTCCACTGATTAATTGTTCTCACTGTCAGGAAATTTCTTTTTAGTCCTTGATTAGTTTCCATCCATTGCTTCTTGTCCTGCCTTAATTCCCTCTTCTTTATGGATACCACTGAGATATTGGAACACAGCTATCATGTCACCCTAGCCTTCTTTTCATTAAATTAGACATACCCAATTCCAGCAACCATTCTTTATATGTTTTAGCCTCCAGTCCCCTAATTTGTTGCTCTTCTCTGCACTCTTTCTAGAGTCTCAACAACTTTTTTATATCATGGTGACCAAAACTGGATGCAGCATTCCTGTTCTGGCCCATAGAGCTCTATGACCCATATAGCTCTATGACCCAGCTCTATGTTGGAAGGTCTGGCAGTTATTGGGTTAAATGCTAGGTATGTAGATGGGTCAGTGGGAGGAGTTCCAAAGGTCTTGGGGAGACTTCCTGGACACAAGCCACTTGGGAATCTCTTTGTCTGTAAGAAGCATGGACCATAGAAGGTCTCCCTATAAACATAAAGATGGTGTAAAGAGCAACACATTCTTACCTAAGGAAAAGATCTGAAAGATGAACAACCAATGTATTCCCAGCAGCACCAATCTCAACATGAACGCAAGTAATCTTTCTCATTAAAATATATTTGTTTGTTATAAGATCGTTTCTTTTGAGTTAACTATCTGACTGGATTTGAAATATAACACTTTTGAATTTGGGTCAGTATAGTAAGAAGATTTTGCTCTTTATACCACCTAATTGTGGCCTTTCCAAAGCATTATAAAGTGGTATTAACACTTCACATGATCTTGATTCTATCCCTCTGTTAATGCAGCCTAGAACTCTGTTGGCTTTTTTTTGGCAGCTGCAGCACACTGCTGGCTCATTTTTAAGTGATTGTCCATTTGGAACTCCAAAATCCTTCTCACAGTTATTACTAGGTACCACCTATTATACCTGTGCATTTGGTTTTTCTTGCCTAAATGTAGAACCTTACTTTTCTCACAATTGAATTTCATTTTGTTAGATAGCACCCAATGTCTGTCAAGATCTTTTGTATCTTAAGCTTGTCTTCTGGAGCGTTGGCTATTCCTGCCAGCTTGGTGTCGTCTGCAGATTTGATGATTTCCCCATTTATCCCTCATCGAAATCATTGATGAAGATGTTGAAGAGTATTGGGCCTATAACAGAGCCTTGGGGTACCCCACTGTGTATTTCCCTCCATGTAGATAAAATCAAGGTTACAAAGTGTTAAACAGTTAAAATAAAAATAGAATAAAAGAAAATAAAATAATTTTTTTTACTTTGGGAGGAACTTTTTACAGCCTTTGCTGCCTGTCCACTACCTTGGCTCCACCTCCATGTAGATGTAGTTCCATTGATGACTACATGTTGACTGCGGTTGGTCAGCCAGTTACGATTCCATCTGGTGGTGATGCTGTCTAACCCACATTTTTCTATCTTATCAAGTAGTAGGTTGTGGTCTACTTTACCAAATGCCTTACTGAAGTCCAAGAAAATTATATCCACAGCATTCCTCTGGTCCACTAATTTTATCACTTTGTCAAAGAATGCAATAAGATTTGTCTGGCACAATCTGTTTTTGACAAACCCATTTGGCTTTTGGTTATGACTTTGTTTGCTTCTAGGTGTTCACTGAGTTGTTGCTTGATTATCTTTTCCAGAATCTTCCCAGGCTGATAGGTCTTTAGTTTCCTGAATCTATTTTTTTTTCTTTTTTGAAGAATAAAGAAAAAAGCTTATCTGTTGCTCCCAGCTAAAGATGGCTTCACCCACCCCCAAACACACACATTTCAGAGAGCAGTTAATGATTTTCTTGCCTTGGTGAAATTGTTGGAGGAAGAGGGAAAACAAAAATTTACTAAGAGAAAACCTGTAAATCATTGCTCTGAAACTATCTCACATATTAAATTGCCTAAGAATGAGTGCCCAGTCTTGTAGCTGAGACATATTAAAGGCTGACTATGTGTATCAGTATAAACCCTGATACACTTTCCTCCAGTCTCAGAGATAAAGGAAGAGTAAATTGATATGGCCATAAGGAGGAGCCCATAGTCTCAATAGTCCATAGAAGTAATCAGTAGTACACTACCCTACAATTATCTCAAATTGCATTGTCTTTTTATATGGTGCCTACAATTTGATTAGCTCCAATTCTGGATTTGTCTCAGGAGGGAATATTCTGAAACATCTTCATTTCACATGCAACATGGGGTTATTAAGTAACAGATTATGCATTCTGTGACTTTCTAGGTTTGTTGTATCAAGAATATCGGGATAAATCCACACGTCATGAGATTGAAACCAGGCGGCTGCAGGACTCCCAGACAGATACTGAAGAAAGCTCAACTACTGAAGAGTCACCAATAGAAACTGAAACTGCAAATGTGTTAGAAAACAAAACTGTCCCCCAGATTAACTTGCTCAGGAATTCCACATCAAGGTTCAATTTATGGCAAGATCTTCCAGAAGTCAGAAGCAGTGGTGTTTTGAATATTCTCCAGCCAGATGAAGTCAAGCTTCAAGAGGTAATATCAACTGAAGGGGAGGAGATAGAAAGGGGAAACACTCTTGATATTTCATGGAAATAATTATTGGTTGACTGATTTATGCCAGTTACAAATATTTAAGATTACTGTATGTTTACTGCTTTATGTAATTTTGAACTAATTTCATCTTGTTTTTGCTAAATTAAAGAACATTCTGATCCTACTCAGCTTTGGCTCTAGCTGTTCCATCAAGAGTGAGCTGCTAGTGAATAAGTAACATCAGCGTGTAGAGGTCATAATCCAGGCTCAGGTTGTTTAAAAGAGAAAAATGTGCTAATAAAAGAAGGGTTTATTGGGATGGATTGACAAATTCAGTAGTAGATGTCATTGAAGGTCATTCTCCCCAAAGCATTTTAAAATCTTGAATGTTATATTGTTGATCTTTCAACTAAAATATATAACTTATTACTAAAATGCTGATCCATTGGCATTACATACCTTCCTATTTTGCAAAGAAGTTTTAGGGAACCCAGAAAATTGTAGCAATCAGAACCTGAGTAGATTGATAGAAAGCAACATTATGATTTATTTATAAAAACAATAAAGGCGGGATAAAAAAAAATAAACACTTTTGGAATTGTTGATTCCAGTAGAGCAGGAATCCATGGCCTATTATCACATCATGGCCTATTCATAACCAGGCCATGCCAGCAGCAGGCTGGTGCACATGCATATTCACTCGCATGCATGTGTGTTCTGGCACACTGTTCACGCAACCCAGTTCCCTTCTCCCCCCCCCCTGCAAGCTGGGCCGTCAAGCTGCAAAGGTTGGGGACTACTGCCGTAGAGAAATTAGGGACACCAGTGTTAGAAAACCATCTCTAGAAGTTGAATATAATATATTCTAAAATCATTGATTGTTGTACAGTGGATTTTATGAATCATTGTTCTTTCTTAGCATGATCTTTTTACTTTCTTGCCCAAATTCATTCATAGCTTTAGTGTAACAAAGTCTTGGAATATGATTATTGAGCTCTGAATTGCACATCATGAGAGTCTCTACCATTGTGATTAATATATATCAGCACATTTTTTAAACAATATTTTATTAAATTTTATAAAGAGAAGGGAAGAGAAGGATCGATATAGATAGTGGGCGGGGTTCAGGAAAGGAGTTGGGATAGGGGTAGGTACAATAATGGGGTTGCCCCCAATGACATCCCAAGCTTTAGCAAACAAACTATCGTCTGGATACAAGTATTCAGTGGGAATAGTTAATATAATAATAAGTAGCTGTAGTCAACAAAAATAGCAATAATTATAGAGCATGTCAGATAATCAATAAACATCAATCATCTTAGTAAATTTCACAATCATTTTTCACTAAATCTTTTTGCTAACCATTGATAAAAGTTTTCCCATGTTTTAAAATAAACTTTCTTTCTCTTTAATCTCTAGGGTTAGTCTGTCCATTTCTGCACGTTCTAAAATTTTCCTAATTATGATCTCATCAGATGGTACATTTTCATTTTTCCAGTATTGGGCAAATGCTATTCTCGCAGCTGTCCATATATGTAATATTAAATACTCATTCTCTTTCCCATAGTTAGATCCTAGTATTCCTAACAAAAAAAATTCTGGCTTAAATTCTATCTATATTTTAGTATCTTTTCCAGCCATATATGAATCGTAGACCAAAATTTCTTTGCACTAGGACATACCCACCAGATATGGTAATAGGTATCTGGCTTTTGTTATTCGAAACTTTTTAAAACATTTTTGCTAGCCTTACTGGTGTCATGTGCCATCTGTAAAACATTTTATATAGGTTTTCTTTACATGAAGCTGCTTTAGTCAGTTTAATATTTCTGTCCCATATCTTTTGCCAAAGTTCTAAGTCTATAGAATATCCAAAGTTTTTTGCCCAAACTATCATTGTCTCTTTTACTTGTTCTTCTTCCATCTTCCATTTTAGCAGAAATTTATAAAGTTTCTTAATCAAATTTTCATCTGTTTTCAAGAGTATTTGGTCAAATTCTATCTGTTCTTTATAAAATCCCATTGTCTTTAGATCTTTCTCATATCTTGTGTGGATTTGTAGGTAAGGCCACCCAAATTTAATTAATTACGACAAACTCGTTACTTATAAAGACATTTTGGATAAGGACAGAAAACTTAAAGTCAGGCAAGATCTACAACAACAAGGTATTGATAAGTCAATACCTTGTTGTTGTAGATCTTGCCTGACTTTAAGTTTTCTGTCCTTATCCAAAATGTCTTTATAAGTAACGAGTTTGTCGTAATTAATTAAATTTGGGTAAGCAAAAGCTTCCATTGTTGAAAGCCACTCTGGTATTTTAATATAATTTTTTTGTTTTATTCTCTCCCATTCTAAAAGCAGTACATTCCTTATAGCATGGTTTTGAAAATATCTGTGTATTTTATTTTTCCCATACCACAGAAAGGCATGCCAACCCAATTGTAGGTCATGTTCCCCTAGGACCTAGGTAGAGAAGTCTTTTATTTCTCAGCGTTATCCATTCTTTGATCCATGGTAAAATGGCTGCTTGATAATAAAGTCTCCAATCAGGGAGTCCAAATCCTCCACTACCTTTAGCTTCTTGTAACATTTTAACTTTAATTCGTGCTTTCTTCCCTTGCCATATAAATCTTAATACTGTTGCATTTAAATATCAAAGAATATCTTTCTCAACTTTACAGGGATTGTTTGGAGTAAGAAGAGTAGTTTCTATCCTATAAAAAAGCTGAAAAATTATTCATTATTTCTGGACATAGAATTTAGGTCACTCTTATGTAATTTTTAAAATTATGTTATGATTGAGAAGAAACTTGTTATAGCTTTAATTTATTGCAGAAGCCAAGATTTCTGTTATAAATATAATTTTATTCCATATTAAATACCCCACTCTTGCTGATCTAAGTATAATATGTAAGGTTTAACTAGTCCTTTCCCACAGCCCATAAAATTAATTCCAGATAGCCTTCTTTCCATAAGCCATAAAGACAAAGTGAACTTTTTAACTCCACTTGATTTTAGTGTACCTTACTGCCAGACACATTATCAATTTCAGCCATAATCTTCAAATCCACTACACATCAGTCAACAACATCTCAGAGTTATGCTGATTAAATAACTTCTAAAGTTAATTGAAGAGCTGTAGGAATAAAGAGAAGTCTTTGGTCAATGCTGGCTTTGTGCTTCAGTACAGGTAGTCCTTGACTTACAACAGTTCATTTAGTGACTGAAGTTACAACGAAAAAAGTGACTTATATTTGTTTTTCACATTTACAACCATTGCAGCATCCCATGGTCACATGATCAGAATTCAGATGCTTGGCAGCAGTGTCCCAGGGTTGTGTAATCATCTTTTGTGACCTTCTGACAAGCAAAGTCAATGGGGAAGCCAAATTCACTTAACAACAGTGTTAGTATAATAACAACTGCAGTGATTCACTTAACAACTGTGGCAACAAAGGTCATAAAATGGGGCAAAATTCACTTAACAAATATCTTACTTAGCAACAGAAATTTTGGGCTCAGCTATGGTTGTAAACTGAGGACTTCCTGTTCTTGGCTTTATATTTTGCATTAAATGTAATATTCTGGTTAGCAATGTTCAGCTATTTCAAGTTCAAAATCTGGGAGATATGAAAAACATTTGTTGTGCTTGCATAAAAGAGTCAGTCCCAAATATTTTTCAAAGCGATTTGCTATTGCCTTCTGCCTAGACCTCAAAGAGATTGACTGGCCTAAATTCATCCAGTGGTGTCTAAGATAGGAATAAAACTCATGGTCTCCTGCTTTCTACTCTGGTGACTTAAGCCACTGCACAAACTGGCTTTCATTAAAAAATGAAGCATGCTACTTTTTTTTAATAATCCCAGATTGTAACTAGGTCTGAACTAAAATATAATTTAATTTACAGAGCTTGAACCTAATGCTTAGTTATTGTTTATCCTACTGCAGTTTCTTTTTGTTTGCAAACTGTGTTAAAATATTGTATGCCATTTTGAAATTAAGTTGAACTAATAATACAGGTAAAGAAAATGGTACATCAACATCAAATCTTGTAAAAAGAGTATATAATATATATAAAAACTGCAAAGATACTATAGAAAATACAAGGATGTTGTTTTCATTAGTATTGCCCATTACATGTGTTATTCCAGCCTTCATCAGATAAGATGTGACTGGAGAGGGACAATGGTACTTTTAAGTGTCCATCATTTGAAGGCATGGGAAACCATATCTGTGTTGTTGCAAAGACAACTCATGAACGTGCCATGAAGTCACCAAGATTGGGATTTGAAGAACCCTATTCTCTTTAAATAGTAACTCTACATAATCTGCCAAATAGAAACAGGAGAGATTATGGCAATTCTGAAATGAGTCAAGAAGACTATTTCACACAGAGCACAGAACCGTGATTATATACTCAGAGAAGAATAAGAAATGAACCTTGAAAGTCATCTTTACCGCAGTGGCAGCTAAAATGTAGTGGTGAAAGCTTTCTCAGAGAATATCGGTGAGAAGGAATTAAATTGTCTTCTGGATGTTTCCTAGACTTGCTAGCCTGGGAATTATGGGAAAGGCCCTGGGCCTTGCTTAGAAGCATGATAGGTGGAGATCTGTGTATGCTTTGCCCAGGATGGTCTCTTAACCATTACAGGAAAGTCTTCGTTGTTGTTGTTTTACAAGAAAGACGGAGGTACAAATAGTAGTTTGTAATACCATATAGATACACATTGGAAAGAACCACCTAACTATCCTTAATTATGAATCTGAACAGGAACTGCCAGTGATTCAGGACAAACAGGATGGGGACTTTCTCTTTCTTGCCCTCAATCAGATCCCATTCCTGTCTTTTCCCTATGATCCAGACTGTCCTGGACTCCTTACAAGAACCTGCACATTCTCCACATGAGGATGGATAATCCACAGATTGGGTTTCCTGAAGTCACTTCTACCCAATTAGAGTAAGTCTGAGAGATAGCCACGCCTCTTGCTGGGTCACGTT